CAGTAGCTTGCCTGCATCGAGCGGCCTTGCTTTCGATAGCGGCGAGAGCGTACAAAGTTCAGGGAATTCGTGTACAGGCAATGGCGGAGACGGTAATCGGAGTGGGTCAATAGAAGACCTGGCGAAGACTCGACCCTTGCGCGATACTGTGCGTCTTAGTGAAATTGCGAATTCATTATTTGTGGACTTCGAGATTATGGGTTCGACTCAAAGTCAGCCGGGATCATGGCCATCCCGTTGTAACGCTCTTGGTGACGGAGCAGGTCGTGTCGGTACGCGTGCGGTGCAGGGTAACGGGAGAGAAGAAGCAATGAGGTGTGTGCTTCTTTTCCGGTATTTTGTGCATGTGTTTGCACCCTTCGAAAACCGAAAAGAGCTAGATAAGGCTCTGGAAAAAGGTGGCTATCACTTGACAAATCAAGAGAAAAGCAAAATGTCAAAAGGTAAGCGCCGAAGGAAGGGGAAGCAAAGGAGGGCTATTGTCTCCAAATACGGGCCGATCCGCATCTGGGATGTTTCTCGGATATCCTCGTTGCGGAGACTTTTCTACGGCGCCTGCGATTTTAATGAGGATATAAGTGGTTGGAATATCAGTGGAGTGGAAGACATGGACAAGCCTTTCGCCACGTGGGAGACGGGCGGCGTGACTAGCATGGAATCCCTCTTCCAAGGTGCGAGTGCATTCAATCAGCCAATCGGGAACTGGGATACGAGTCGGGTGAATTCCATGAAAAGCCTCTTCGAAGGTGCGACCGCATTCAATCAGCCAATCGGGAACTGGGATACGAGTAGGGTCACTGACATGAGTGGCCTCTTCCATCGTGCGAGTGAATTCGATCAGCCGCTTGCAAAGTGGAACGTCTCTGCGGTGAGGGATTGTATCGGAATGTTTTTCGCTGCAGATAGTTTTCAGCAGCCGATTTATGATTGGCAGATTTCCGAGCAATGCCTGTTGGGTGCGATGTTTACAGAAGCGACAGCCTTCCATGCGACTTACCGTACTGACGAGGCTCTTGCTACCGAGGGAGTGCGATCGTACGCCATTTACCGAGACGTTGACGCAAAAACTTTCCGTGCATATTGTACGCCAAAAAACCTCGACGTACTATAGTTCTTGTAGAATTCGTGTACCAATAGCACTATGCGGATTTTTTGTATGAAGAATGTCAATGTGATTGTTACTTAAACCTTGCGGCGGCCGCGTAAGTTTCTGGTAAGTCTCTGATTCTCTTTCTCAGACTTTGGACATTATATAATAAAAGTTGTACCGGCCCAATAGTGACGCTTGTTGTATTGCCAAGAAGATCGACCTGCATTTTTGCGCTAGACAGAATAGTTCTATGCAGCAAAGAAAAAAATTGAAAAAGAAGGGATCCATGTTGATCTTCCTGGGTATGGATAGTCGTTAGCTCTCAATGAGTGACGATGGAAAAGAGAGAGATTGAGAGATACAGCCAAGATGTTGGAAAGGTGATCTGTCAGATGAGACTCTTCGCGTCCGATATTGTGAGTGTCTTCAAATAAGGAGAGTGTCTTCAAAGGAGAGTGTGCTTCATCATTGTGTAGCAAGAGGCCAGAACGAGCTGTATCTACCTGTCGTGTTCAGTTCCTTCTTCTTGTGATTTGACGTTACTTCAACAACAGGAAGGCTCGGAGATATCAGACCCCGCTTAGAAACACGAGTTGAAGTAGAGAAACTGACAATGCAACCTCCCGAAATTTCTGTGAAACGAGTTGTACCAACGGGTTCCTGTCTGAGTGATCGTCTGACTCGTTTGGAACGAGCAGTGTCATTGATGTCGTGGGGATATCTATGAATAAGTTTTTAACAATAACATATTTGGCTGCTAATTCCGCCGATAAATGTGAGGCCTCTTTTTCCCGCGGAACTCTTGCGCAGGGTCATGCACATTCTTTTTTCATGTTCATCACTCGCTCGTAACGTCACTATTAGAAGCTTCATGATTGAACACAAGTGATTGATGCACATGCATGCCCA